AAAAAAATATAAAAAATGCCACATATGCAGAGTTAACGGTGAAAATTAACAGAAGGACTAACGGAGTGCATTTGTTAGAGTTGAGGGATTAAAAAAGTGCAAAAAATTGTTGAGGGATCAAAAATGTGCATTTCTTAAAGTTAAGGGACCAAATTTAGCATTTAACCTTATATGTTCCGATGCGGAATCCACGCGGCATGCCAATCAAGATGCCAAGCAAGATATCCGGAATCCGATGTGTATCTCCAGGCAGTTATTTCTGGACCGGGAGATTGAGCTAAGCAAAATATCCGGAATGTGATATGTATCTCCAAGCAGTTATTTCGGGACCGGGAGATTGAGATATATCTAGATACAATGATGTCCATCGTAACTGCCGTGTAGCTATTCTAGCAGGAAGCTCTGGACTTACCCTTACAGGCATGTACTTTGAGAGGAATTCATTTAAATCCATTTTCCCGTTTCCTGGAAAATTTCCAAAATTTTCTACAGATTTTTCTACTTAATTTCAACGTGTCAAACAAGGCCTTTGATCAAGTGATAGTGTTTAAGATTCTACAGTGTTTTTGAGTTCTGTTTGTGCGGGGTAAATCTAAGAAAAAATGAAAATTCATATTGTCAATGGCAAAGTTGAAAAGAGTGAAATCGAATTCCTGTTAGGAATTTTGACAATGCAGAGCATTATTACTGCTATTATAAAATCAAACTGATTGAGAAATTTTCCGAGAATAGGTATTATAGGAGACAAAGAAAGTGACAATGGCATCAAAGGATTTCTTTTTCAAAAGCATTAAAAGCAGAATTGAATCAAAGAGGCTAGGGGAACGCAAAAACGCGTTGGACAGCTAGATATCAATTGGCTTCATCGCCTCTTCTTTCTGGAAAAAAAAAAAAGTTTGCTTAACCTGTTTTCAAATCAAAAGTGTATTAAATATTTTGTTATTATAAATTTGTAATTAAAAAATAAAATTAATATTTAATTTATTAATTATTTAATTAAATTTATTTATTTCACATGACACCAAAATTAATATCAAAATTTATAATATTTATATATTTTTATAATAAAAAAATATTCTTAATAGGTATTCTAAGAAGGAAAAAAAAAAGAAAAAGAAAAAGAAGACTGTGGGTTGCGCCATACGTGTCTATCAACATTATATTTGGGCATGTTTTTTTCCCCTTTTTGCGTGTCTTTTGACTTTGGGGCGATGTTTAGATTATTATTGGGTCAATTTGTACGTGGTTAGCAATTAATACATATCCAAATTAAATAATTTTAAAAGGCACTTTCGTGTCAAATTTGATATATTCTAACTAAAAAAGACACTTCCCAAAACTAGAATCTTACAGCTACTAGAATTATATTTGTGCATGTATTTGCATATATTATATTGAGGATCCACAAGTCATGCTGTGGGCATCTTTGTGCAGCTTTACTAACTTTTCATCAGTTCACTCGTTACTTCTACCATGGGTATCTCGCTTTATGATTATTCTTATTGATTGGGGAAATGCTAATCCTTGGTTGGGACAATTATGGAGAACCTTTTTTTTTTTTTCCCTAATAAAAATTCTAACATATGGAATATGATTGAGGTATTGATGTTTTCAATAGAATAAAATTTCAATTTAATTAGAGATTTTATGTTCAAATTTTAAAATAAATGATAAAAGAGTGTAATAATTTGAACTAGGTAAGCTATTTGTATCTTCATAAATTAGATATATAAAAGGAAATGATGAGGTCTAATTCAGCAAGAAAATAGAAATAAAATAAAAAAACTTTTATTAGAGTGTTGGGGAATAAAGTAGAAAATTTCTTGTATGTCCTCATCTTGTATGTAAGTTATCTTTTGTTGATATTCACAAAAAAAAAAAAAAAAATCATCACCATTGTAATGCCTATAATTAGTCTAAGATATTAATTTTAGTCACTAATATCTATTTTTTAGGTCAAACATTAAAACCAGAGACGGAGCCAAGAAATTCAATTAGGGAGGTGAGCAATATTGTTGAAAACTTGAGCCTTCAAGTATATTGTAAAACACTAATTTATTATTTTATAATTTTTATATAAAAAGATTTATTTGTAGTCTTTTTTATTGATCTATTCTTAAAAAAAGAAGAAGAAGAAATAAATGTATTTATTAAAATAAAAAAAAATACTGCAATAATAAATTGTGCAATGATCAATTGAAGAATAAATGAAATAAAAATAAAAAAACATGTTTGTTAGCTAAATCTCTAAAAAATTATAAAGGAAAATACTAAAAAATTATATTATTTCAATAAACTTACATTAAAAAAGATAAAATGATATATTTTTAAAGGTAAGAATGAAAGTATTTTGGTTTTATTGAAATTATAGAGTTTTGGAGTGTTTCTCCTTTTAATTTTTTGAAGTTTATGTTAATAAACATTAATATTATAAAAAGTACTAAAATATTTCTTTTAGAAAGTGAAATTTAACTTACATTGATTTAATATAAAAAAAAATACATGATTATAAATTTAATTATAAAAGATAAAAACCTATAACGATGCCAAATAAAAAATTTTAAATTATTATACATACAATATTAGGAAAGAAAATAAAAAATACTAAAGAAAATTTTAAATTTAAAGTGGTTTAAATAGAAAATTAAAGTTTTTATTTTATTTGGGTTTAATATATGAGGAAATGTTTCGAAACTCCAATTCCAAATTAATTAAATTAACATAAAATTCATTTCATTTTGAGGTATATCTTTATTTTTTGAAAGTTCTTTATTTAAACCCTAAATATTTTCTCTACATTTGAAATGGTTATTGAAATTCACAATATAAAAACAAAATTTTTAACAAATAAAACATAGAGTGCCTTATTAAATGTTTTTCAAAAGTTTAGGGGGGCGGCTCCCCCCCCAACTCTTCTTCATTGGCTCCGTCCTTGATTGAAACTTTACATCTAACTCCATAATTTTGTATTCTGTCAAATGTTTTTATTTTATTTTGTCATTTGTTAAACTGATTTTTGATATTTTTCTAAATTTATTACATTGTTTGTTAGATGCGTTTAATTTGATTGTTTTTCTCCCAAAAAACAATTAGATAATTATTCACTAATTACAAAAAATTATAATGAAAGTACATTATATTTCCCACTAAACATGGCCGATTTTAATTTTAGATATAAGTTTACAATTATGTGTTACTTCCTCTAGTGCTTTTTAGTTCTCTTATTCTATCAAATTCATGTTAATTAATTTGATAATTTTATATAATAAATAGTTAACAATTGGAATTTTTTTAATTTAAGTGAAAAAATTTAACAAGCACTATATTTAGCAAGAAATTTTTTTTTAATTATCATATATTTACTATATAAAATCATCAAATCAAATTTTATACAAAAATCAAATTAATTTAACTAGGAAAAATAATGCTTTGACACAAATTTAATTTAGGTATTAGACAAATTTGACCGCTTATCTCATATAACATTGAATAAGAGAATAAATTAATAAATTTGTAGTAAAATCAAAATAGACAATACCTAATACAAAGGCCTATACTAATAATCAAAAGCGTGTTTCTATTACTTTAGTCAATGCATTCTTTAACTATTCCTTTTCCATATAATTAATTAAGGGAGGAATAATTTGACTATAGTAGATTGTGGAATCTTTGTGTATCATTTCTTTTTATCAAATCAATCCTTTTAGTATTTGGCTGATTCCTCCATGCGTTGAAAGGGAAAAAAGTAGCGAAACAAAAATCAGACCCTTCCAAGCTTTTGAGTTTTGAAAATTAACTTCTTTTTTTTCGAGTTTTTTTTATGAGGAAAAGTAGTGCGACCAAAAACATCAGACCCTTCCAATTTCCAACCTCTTGTCGTTCTTGGCTTACAATAAGTCAGCATGAATTTTGTAACTTTGCTGTAAATCTCTGTACGTAGTTGTTAATGGAAATGGAAGTTTCCTTCTCTCGTGCCAAAAGAAAATGTTTAGTATATACTTAGTTTAATATTTTTTTAATTATTTTAATTTAATTATAAAATATAATTAATTGAGTTAATTTATGTATTTTATATTTATTTTTTATTTTAAATTAAAATTAATAATATTTTAATAAATATATTATATAATATATTAAATCAAAATATATATTAATCAGTAT